CACTCCCATCTCAGGTCAATCATCAAATTCTATGGGTTCTTAATCCTCGGTATATTTATCTCATATCCATAATTATTATCACAGGTTACTTTGCCGTAACCACTTCTCTAGATTTTCCACGAATCTCTTCACTTGATTTTTTTTGTTTTGTATTTAATAGCAAGTGATTTAAAATAAGACATTTCATTTGCCTTTGTTTATTGCCAAATAGTTTATAAACTCTTTATTTACATTTACATTTTTTGGAATGACTTCTATTTTTGAAATATCTTTCTTAAAAGTAAGGCATGTAAAAGAGTTCACCATTCCAGTAGGAAAATACAGAAAGTTGATTGCATTTTTTCCCATAAATTGGCATTCTGGTTAAATAAAAAGAATGACCAATTTGTATATCCTGTACAATTCTAACCTAAGTCTTTTGCAAATGAATAACCATATCTTCTAATTAATTAATTTTAATCTAAGTAATAATTTGAAGGCTACATACCTGAATTTCTGAACTGGCTTGGAGATCTTTTTGTTATGTCTTGATTTCTTGTGTCCGATTTGTGCTGCCATAGCAGTACTGAGAAGCTCATGTGATTTTCAGAGCCTAATTTATAAATTAGTGGTTTGGGCACTGGTAGAATTTATAAGTCAGTCACAAAATTATATTTGATCAAGTAACAATGATAACTAGTTTTGATATTATTTGGTGACAGATCTTTAACATTTCAAAATGCTAGTATTAGACTAATTGTTGTGTTGCTATGACCTGACCCGGTATGCAGTTGCTGGGAGCTCATTTGTAGCTCTCATCCAAAGAAATTTAGTGAAGGCCTGAAAGGGTCTTAGTTATAAGACCATTAAACCTTTAATACCTATCCCAGACTGTGTTTGGGTAAGATCATGATACAGAAAATATTATAATGACATTGTATTTGTCCTTTTTCTTAGATGTGGCCGTCTTGTATATCATCTTGGTTTGCCTTTTTCCTTCCTAACTTTCCCATATGTAGAAGAAGCCATTAAGATTGCTTACTGTGAAAAGAAATGTGGAAACTGCCCTCTCACGGTATTTTTCTGAATTATTTTTCTGGGGAGAAAAGAGGAAATCTTTTAAGAGCTATCTAAACAAGTTAGTGTTTCATGATAAATTAGGATAAATTAGTCAATGCTTTTGCAGGTGTATTAAAAGTAAATAACAATAATTTTTATAATTAAATATATCCTGTCATCTAACCTCTACTTTAAAACATTTTCTGAAGATTGATGTTGCTGCTTTTATCTAGAAGTGCTTTATAAATTAAAAATCAATGTAGATCATATTTCAATTACCACCAAATGATGTTGCATGAGCATAAGTGCTCAAAGAATTTAGTCAACAAACAAAATAATATTATTGTAGTATCCTGAACATGTCAGCACAAGAAGATGGTAATAGCAAAGTTTACCCACAGTATTACTTGGAATGGAACTGGGGCCAGAAACTACTTAATTTTTTGAGGATGCAAGACTATTTATCAGATTTTTCCTGAAGCTCTTCCACTGTCTGCCCATCTGCAGTCTGAGTTTACTTCAAAATGGAATAAGTTTTCTACTCATTACTGGTATTTATTTCCTAAAAGCTATGAAAATATTTTTTCTTTGTTATAACAAGAACTATATTAAAAAAAATTTTTTTTTTTGAGACAGTCTCGCTCTGTCACTAGGCGCCAGGCTGGAGTACAGTGGTGTGATCTCGGCTCACTGCAACCTCTGCCTCCCGGGTTCAAGCAATTCTCCTGCCTCAGCCCCCAGAGTAGCTGGGACTACAGGTGTATGCCACCACACACAGCTAATTTTTGTATTTTTAGTACAGACAGGGTTTCACCATGTTGGCCGGGATGGTCTCGATCTCTTGACCTCGTGATCTGCCCTTCTTAGCCTCTCAAAATGCTGGGCTTACAGGCGTGAGCCACCACTCCTGGCCTTAAATCTTTTTAAATAAAAAAGGCACTCAAAGAATTTATTTTAGTTTGTATTAACTAGACTTGTTTTCCTTCATATAAAAATGAAAAATAATTCTAAACTGTTTCATTGATAGGTCAGATTGCCAAAACTTGAACTTAGGTTTGAAAACAATTCTAGTTTTATCTGTAAATTGTATTTCCTTCAGATTTTTCCTCAGCTCTAAAGAAAGCCATCTCTAATTTTTAACAAATTATCTAATTAATTAATTTAAAGGAGTACAACAAGTTACTCTAGTTATGTAAGTTTCACATTTTAACCTTTATAATGATCTTATGCGGGTTATTTTTGAAAAGTAGTGGTACTTTTAAAGACGAGGAGACTGAAGTAGTGGAAGAAAATACTAAGAGTAATGATAGAAAAGTACTAACTCAACCTATACTAAGCATTTAATAAATACTATAATGATTCCTCATATTTTGGGATTATTTCTGTATTTCTCATTTGTGCAAATGCCTGATAGTTATAGATATACCCAATTAAACTGAAAAAAGGCAGAAACAGTTACCACAATATGCTTAAAATGTGTAAATTATCTGTGAATATGAATTACAGATCAGACACTATTAGTATCTGATATGCCAAATCAAATTGGAGTTTTTCTATTTCATTGTCTCCTAGATACCATTAATTATAGGACACATTGTCTTATGTACTATTTAGAAAAAAATGCTGCTAATTAAAATAGGGTACAGTAAGAAAACACCAATAGTATGGTATATTCTAATTTCAGAGATATTAAAATCTAAAGAAATATGTATCACATGATCAGTAAAATACAGTAATGTGTTTTTGAGATTAGACTACTACCACAGGTATTTGTGTTTGTTTAAACCTTGAACACTTTGAACATTATGCAGTATATTTAAACATACATCAAATTGTTTATAAGTTTCTAAGCAAACACTCTTAGCTTCTAATGTAGAAGTAATTCATAAATAACCAAATAAAGTGCCACTTAGTAGTTGTATCTTAAATTTAATGGAATTTATAACCTCTTAAAACCTTCAAAACATCAAAACCATATCACTTAGCGAGTTTTTGGGTTCTAAGTTGATTTTGTAAATTTGTTTACAAATTAGCCTTAGGTTGAGGTTTAATGTTACATTTCTGTATCTACAGGCTTTGAGTCCCTGACTGGTAGGTACCACAAAACAATAAAGACTTCCAGTAAATTAAAGAACTAGGATTTTGCAGAATGGATATTATGGTCAATGGGAGTAGGGCAGTAATTCGCTACTTTCAGCTGACAGCCTTATAGTAGGGAGACATTAGCAAAGCTTTGGTGAAGTTCAAAACTTTTCCTGGCATAGGATGAAGTATGAAAAACTAACACACTTGAGCAATGTTTATTAGCATTTTTGAATTATCAGAGATAAATTAATACTAGATTATAGTATCATACAATATTACATAAGATGCGCTGTTGACCTAGGTACAGAAATTTCCATATAGATCAATTGATTTTTTTTATTTTTATTTTTTGAGACAAAGTCTGACTCTGTCAGCAGGCTGGAGTGCAGTGGCACCATCTCAGCTCACTGCAACCTCCACCTTGCAGGCTCAAGTGATCCTCTCATCTCAGCCTCCCAAGTAGCTGGTACTACAGGCATGCACCACCACACCTAACTAATTTTTGTGTATTTTGTAGAGACCGAGTCTGCCATGTAACCCAGGCTGGTCTCAAACTCCTGAGCCCAAGCAATCTGCCAAACTTGGCCTCTGAAAGTGCTGGGATTACAGGTGTGGGCTACCATGCCTGGCCTAGGTCAACTGAATTTAGGATTTGATATTAGATTGACTTTCCTGCAATCTATGTTCCTTTTGCCAGTTTACTTTATTTGCTTCTGCAAATATAAGTACAGTGGTTTGGCTTTCTTTTTAAGCCTTTAATAAAATGTCTAGGTGTTAAGACTAACATCAGACTCTTTACTCATTAATATAATATAAAGCCAACTCTATTCTAATTAGCTAGTTAGAATTTCACATACCTTAGGTCTACAAATTATTTTGTAGTATTTCTATCTCTATAAACTTGTTAATATGTGATTTATAAATTTTTTCCAGACTCTCAATGATGAAGACTTTTGTAAAAATGTATCTTTGGCTACTGTGAATAAAACAACTGAAGCTCCACAGCCCCATCACCATCATAAGCATCATCACAATCATAGACATCAGCACCTTGGCAGCAGTGAGCTTTCAAAGAATCAGCAACCAGGAGCACCAGATGCTCCTACTCATCTCACTCCTTTAGACCTTTATCACCACCATAAGCACAAGGGTCAACATAGGCAGGGTCACCCAGAGAACTGATATATGCCAGGAAGTGAAGGTTTACAACATCCACGAAACAAGCTCTGACAAAGGAGATGTATAAATCAATTACTCTGAAAATTGCCCAAAGATTCAGAGTTGGCTCCTAGGAGCTGATGCTGACATTGTCGACATCTGATATTTGAAAAAACGGGGTCTGCAATCACCTGACAGTGTAAAGAAAACCTCCCATCTTTATGTAGCTGACAGGGACTTCGGGCAGAGGAGAATATAACTGAATCTTGTCAGTGACGTTTGCCTCCAGCTGCCTGACAGACAAGTCAGCAGCTTATACCCACAGAAGCCAGTACCAATTGAAGCTGAAAGAATAAGGCAAAAAAGTGAGAATGCTCTTCAAACTAAATTTTTAAAATAAGACATACTCCCTAAGTCAGTCTAGACACAATTTCATATCCATCATTTTTATAAATCCCCAAATTAGTGAACCAAAAATAGAAATTGGATTTGTGCAAAAATGAAGAAATCTACTGGATTGGCTTCCAGATTTTAAATTTTATGTCATAGAAATACTGACTCAAACCATATTTTTTATAATGGGGCAACTGAAAGGTGATTGCAGCTTTTGGTTAATATGTCTTTTTTTTTCTTTTTCCAGTGTTCTACTTGCTTTGATGAGAACAGAAACATAAACTATGACCTAGGGGTTTCTGTTGGATAGTTAGCAATTTAGAACGGAGGAAGAAAAACGAAGACATGCTTTCCATTTTTTTTTTTTTTTTTACTTATCTCTCAAACAATATTATCCTTGTCTTTTCAATCTTACATTTTTAACTAAATCTAAAGAAAGAAGCAGATTTTGTATTTTAAGATCGAGAAATACTTAACACATGAATATTTTGCTAAAAAAGCATACATATTTTAAATGTCCATTTATCTTTTTTGATATCGAAGACTCATATCTTGCTTTTACTATCACACATGAATACCTTTGTATCCTTCTTTCTCTAACATTGTATCACACTCTTCTAAAACTTGACTGGCTGTCTTGAAAGATATAAGGGAAAGATAAAGAATATTGTCTGTCTCTGTATTGCTTGGTAAGTATTTCCATAGTCAATGATGGTTTAATAGGTAAACTAAACCCTTTAAACCTGACCTCCTTTATGGTTAATACTATTAAGCAAGAATGCAGTACACAATTGGATACAGTATGGATTTGTCCAAATAAATTCAATAAAAACCTTAAAGCTGACTCTTTTTGTGATGTAGGCTGTATGCATATGTTGAAATTAGAAGTGAAGTTTTCAGTTGCTTTTAAGTAAAATACCAATTAATGAATTTACTGCTAAGCTCAAAACCGTCTACGCTTAAGGTGAGAATCTTTGCCAACAGAAAGGCGTTGCTCTAAATCGCGAATGGTATTACGAAGAATTGCAATCTCTTTGTTTTTTTCTTCTTGAAAATGTTGGAGTTTCTAAATGAAACAAAAAATTTGTTATTACAATTCAAAAATAAAATTTAGTACAAGGAACAACAAAATAATAATGAAATACACTTCTGCTACAAATTGGTATTAAAAAAACCTTATATTGTTAATAAGAATTAGAAACACGCTTACAAAATTTTCTTAAGCAACAAACCATGGGAGAAAAACTCACATACCCTTCTGTAGATACTCTGTGGCAAAACAGTAGAATCTGGATATGATTTTGATTTAGTCTGAACTCTTGCTAGTTTGGCATCATACTGAATCAAATTTAAAAAGAAAGTTATTGAAACTCTAGACAACTAGAAACAATTGTTTCATAATCCATGATATCTTTTGACATGCAAGCTGTAATTTAGGTGTATTCTCTGTAATAACAGACAATAGAAAAATCTTGCTTTAAGAAACAATTTTTCAGAAAGAGCAAAGGGCACACATCAAGATTAACCCTGATTGCATGGTAAAATTACCTGGGTAGGTTTTTTTTTTCCTTTGGACCAAATGGCTGACACTATAGAGATTCTGGTGTGTAGCTGGCATCATTTTTTTCTTAAACCATGATTCTATAGTGCAGCTAGGGCAGAGAATCTAGTTTAACTTAAAGATAGGTAAAAACATTTTTACATTAAAATGAATATATTATAAAGAAAATGTAATCAATAGGAGAAAACCTCACATATTTTTCTGCAGGAACTTTGAGGCTGAACAGGAGAATTTGAATACCATCTTGTCGATTTAGTTTGAACTCTTGCTGGTTTGAATTAACCTGAATCAGGTTTAAAAAATTCTCATAGGCCATTCTTACAGGCCAAATTTTTCATTTTTGCACAATATTCCATTTTAACTTCAGATTTAGTTAATATAGCCTCTCTGAGGACTAAGAATAAGCTCTGAGGTTATATTCTGGTTTGAGGAGAGAAATGGTTAGGTACAATAAAGACAGATAACAAGAAGCTCTGTATACTAGTTAAATAATAGACCAGTGATAAGGCCCAAATGGCAAACAAAATGCAAATTTCCAAACAGAGGAGGATTAGAAGTTGGTGGTAGATCCTGAAACCATGCCCATTAATTTCAGTCGGCCATTCAATCTGTCTTGTGGTTTGTGGTACACTTGGCCAGATGGCAGCAGCAGCAGCAACAAAGGGCATCTAAATTCCACATCAGCTCTCTTTCTGCCCAATGATTACACATGGTGCTTCATCAAGTACCCCAGGGATTCCAGAGTTTCGGGAATATGAGTAGTACGCGATCTTTTTTTTTTTTCTTTTTTTTTTTGAGACAGAGTCTCACTCTGTCACCACGCGCCAGGTTGGAGTGCAGTGGCGCGACCTCGGCTCATTGCAACCTCTGCCTCCCGGGTTCAAGCAATTCTCCTGCCTCAGCCTCCCAAATAGCTGGGACTACAGGCGCACACCACCACACCCGGCTAAGTTTTTCGTATTTTTAGTAGAGACGAGGTTTCACCATGTTGGCCAGAATGATCTCGATTTCTTGACCTCGTGATCCGCCCGCCTCGGCCTCCCAAAGTGTTGGGATTATAGGCGTGAGCCACCGCGCCTGGCCTAGTATGCGATCTTAACTAAGATCTGTGAGTTCTTACAACACAAGGTAAAATGAAAGTTGGGGTGGGGGGGGAAGTGACGGAAGAATGACGTAAGGGTAGATTGATACAGTCTAAAAAAATTTAAAGGACAAGTATTTTGTCAAATTTTGAGATTTGAGATTACGATATCTGGTTAAATGAACTACTCAAGATATTTGAGCAAAGAGCTAGAGCCTCAGACTTTGAGATGCCCTATTTGAAGTCCCTTTAAAAATATTTTTTAGGAATTTGGCTTGTTTGCCCCTGGCATATATATGTTTCCAGAAAGATATTAGGAATAAATTTGTCTTTCTTATGAGAATTAAAGCAAAAGAAATTTCTAGTTGGTTTACTGGGGTTCAACAAATTTCTGCTGGGATGAGAATAATGAGAAGCATTAGAAACATTCATCCCATGCTGGAATGGTAGAATTATGAAACGCATAGAATTTACTGTAAAATGCAGATAATCCCTGAATTTTCTGTCAAGGAAATGTAGTGCTAAAAACACAATAGCTAAAAATAAAGTTTCACTGTATTGGTTTAATAGCCAATTAGTTACACTGAAGATAGAATTGGTAAGCTGGAGAATATGTCAGAAGAAAATATCTACCTTGAGACAGGGAAAAGCAAGAAAATGACATATACAGAAAAGACCATATGAGATACAGGAACTGGTTATAAAGTCTGTGAAAGGCTGTTGTCTCTCATCTAGTGTTGGGCCTACAGTTGCTGCAGTCAGAAAGGGCTGCAGTTAAAAAGAAAAGTTGGATGTCAAGTGGGAAATACTAAGAACAAAAGTTCTCAGAGGAAGCAATATCCTCTCTAAAAACCAGGACCTTTTGAATAACTGAAGAGTCTATCTTCAAGTCAAGTGCTGAAAGGCAATGCAGATGACAGTTGTATGGTGTGTGATTACTTAAATCATTTGATGGAGAATGAGCTTATGTGAAGTCCTCTCTCAGAATTGCTTCTAATCCTAAAATGTATCTTACAGTGATGAAAAACAATCAAAGTACAGTTTAAGGGATGTGTCCTCAAGTTTGGCAAACTATTAAACACCTACCTCTAGTTGTAGCTTGATTATTTCATTTTGTTTTTCTTTTTCTTGATTTCTTAGCTTTGCATTTAACTCTGAAATTTCCATCTCCTTTTTCCCTATTAGTTCTTTGTGCTTTTCTTCATTTAATTCAACTGCATAAATGAAATAAAATTCATTCATTAAAAATTTCAAAAATATTATAAGCTTGTATTTCCTTAGTATTTTAAATAACTCCAAAGAAAGTAAATTTTATTAATGAAACGTATTTTAGAAATGGTTTATGTTTAGAATAGCTTTTCTGTATTTTTTTTACAAGACCCTGAATAATTTTTGAGACACAGAGGTCACTTGCCAAATCTTTTTGAATGAATACAGTAATTTAAACTATTAAGCATCAATGGCCTAGAAAATAAATGGGAGATACAGTGGTTGAAGAGGGACACAAAGCCTGAGTTTCTAGGTATGAAGGGCTCAAACTACTGGATGTCTCTAGAGCTACATAAAACCCCTGCTATACTATTCCATATGACCAGGCCATTCTCATGTTCACATCATGTCTTTATGCTTTATCAAATTTCTTCTTCTCCCAACTTTCTTATTCCTGTTAAAGAGACCATGATATTTTTAATGAAAAAGGAGACAATCTACAAGCCCTACAAATGAAGGGCTTCCTAGCTTCCTAATATAGATATTTAGATAATAAGTTTGTAGATTTCTCCATGACTTATATTTAAGGCTTTTTTTTTTGACTTTAAGGGTTTTTTTAAATTTTTACATTTTGTTTTGTGATTCTTCCAAAAAGTGTATGTTTTTTTTTTCTTATTTTTTTTATTGCATTTTAGGTTTTGGGGTTATTTAACGCTATTAAGTCTATCCATAAACACAGCTTTAGTACAAATTTTGAAATGTAATGTTTTCTATATAATTCAGTTCAAAATATTTCTCAACTTCCTTTGAGATTTCTACCTTGATCCACAGGTTTATCAGGAATAATTTCCAAATATATAGGGATTTTAAAGTTTTCTGTATCTTACCAACTTCACCTTAATTGCAATTAAGATCTATCTGTATCTTAACAACTTCACCTTAATTGCAATTAAGATCCTACTCTTTATGATTTAAGACCTTTGAAATGGGTTGAAATTTGTTTTTTCATTTATAATATGGTCACTTTTCTTAAATGCTCCATGCATACTTGAAAATAATATGTATTCCGCACTTATTGGGTATATTGTTTATGTCAATTAGTATCAGTTGTTAGTTTTGTTGTTTAAGTTTTCTATATCGTTACTGATTTTGCATATTTGAATGTACTTTTCTACCACTAGAAGGTGAATTCAAGTCTCTCATGATTGTGGATTTGTCTGTCACCTACTAGTTCTGCTAATTTTATTTGGTGCATATAAATTTAGAATTGTTATATTACCCTAGTAAATCGAACACTTACATCAGAAAATATCCATCTTTTGCTCTAGTATTGTTTCTTGCTTTAAAGTTTATTTTGTCCAATATTAGTATAGCTACACCACCTTTGTATCGGCTACTATATGCATGGTATATGCTTTTCCATCTTTTATTTAAATCTTTCTTATATTTTATATTAATATGTAATATTTATTTATTATAAATTATTCAGGGTCTTTCTTATATTTTATATTAATGATAAGAGCTTCATATATTAGGTATATTGAAAGCAGCATATTAGCAGATTTTAATCTTTATTCAATCTGACAATCTTTGTCTTTTAATTGGAAATTAAAGTTTAATTTAATGCATTTAGTAATATATTTGGGTTTAAATAGACTAGCTTATTATTTGTTGGCTTTTACATTTTATGTTCATTTTTCTCATCTTCATTTGGACTGAATAACTATTTTTACTTCCCTTTTTTCCTCTTCTATTAGATTGATACTCATTAGCTTGATATATATTCTTTTATTCTTCTTTAGTGGTTACCTTAGAGTTTATAACAAGCATATTTGACTTATTAGAATTTAATAAAATTAGTATTTTTATCACTTTATGGACATTATGCAAGTCTTAAAAACATTTTAACTCCATTATTCCCCCTTCTATCTTTGGTGGTTTTGTACTATGTTAACTTAGCTAAATTAGAACTATGTTTCCCATGATTCCCTTGTCTACACATTTTTAAGTTAGAGTTAGCCATAAGAGACATCTCCACAAGATTTGGAACATGAAGTATAGAAAAAACTAATTTGCTCTGATGTTTAGTATAAGATGCTGGGTAGTGTTTCAGTTCACACATGGTGTTGCTGGTCTTCTGGCCCACCAAATCAGCAGCTATTATTTTTTGAAGGTTAGTGTAGAGCCCAGGCAATGTTGCAATTCATATAAGTTGTCATGTATCAATGGATCATCTCACTGATAAGAAAAATCATTTGGTTCCACAGCTTCTTAAGTTCCCACTAGATTTCTTTTTTAATTTGCTAGAAGTCTCAGGCCAGGTGTCCTTGAAGCTCAATGGCATAGGGCACCATCTTTTCCTGTAGGGTTGTCATGTCATTAATGTGGGAGGAGGTACAAGAAATATGCAAATTCCAGTTCGTTCTCTATTTCCCACTTGACATCAAGCTTTCCTTTTTAACTGCAGGCCTTTCTGACTGCAGTAACTTTAGGCCCAACACTAGATGAGAGACAACAGCCTTTCATAGACTTTACAACCAGCTCCTATATCTCATATGCTCTTTTCTATATATGTCATTTTCTTGCTTTTCCCTGTCTCAGGGTAGATACTTTCTTCTAACCTATTCTCCAGCTTACTAATTCTATCTTCAGTGTATCTAATTGGTTATTAAACCAATACAGTGAAACTTTATTTTTAGCTATTGTGTTTTTAGCACTTACATTTCCATATATTTCTCTGGTATAATTTTCAGTTCTCCATAGAAATTCCCCAAGTCCGACCAGGCTTGGTGGCTCATGCCTGTAATCCCAGCACTTTGGGAGGTCAAGTGGATGGATCACTTGAGGACAGGAGTTTGAGACCAGCTTGGCCAACATAGTGAAACCTTGTCTCTACCAAAAATATAAAAATTAACCAGGCACAGTGGTGCACACCTGTGGGCCCAGCTACTCGAGAGGATGAGGAAAGAGAATCACTTGAATCTGGGAGGTGGAGGTTATAGTGAGCTAAGATCGCACCACTGTACTGCAGCCTGGGTGACAGAGTGAGATTCTGTTCAAAACAAATAAACAAACAAAAAAACAAAAAATATTTCCTCAAGCTCTTTATTTCTTTGATTATATTAATCAGAGCCATTGTAAATTAAATATCTCATTATGCCATTATCTAGATCATAAATGAATTTATATTTATTGCCTTTTAAAAATATTTATAATTGAGGTTGCTTAGGTTTTTTTTATTTTTAAAGTCAGATTTACTGCAGCATAATTCATATGTAGCAAAGTCTCTTCTGAGGTATACAGTTTGATGAGTTTTGAGAACCATATATAAGAATCTAACCATCACTTCAGTCAGGTAAAATTCTTCTATCACTTCAAAAGGATCCCTTGTGCCCCTTTACAATCTATCCTTTTGCTCAAATACTGGCAAACATTGATCTGATTTTTGTCATTATAATTTTCTCTTTTTCAGGAATGTCATATAAACAGAGTCATATAGTATGTGGCCTTTTGTGTCTGGTTTCTTTCATTTAGCATATTGCTTCTGAAGTAATCGTATTGTTGAAGGTATCAGTAGTTTGTTCCTTTTTATTGCTGAGTAATTTCCATTATATGGATGTACTATAATTTGTTTATTTATGTTAATGGATTTGCTCAATTCCATGTTTGGGCCATGATGAATAAGGTTTCTGTAAACATTCACAAGCAAGTCTTTGTGTAGACACATGGTTTCATTTCTCTTGGTTAAATACCCAGGGGTGGGAATGCTGGGTCAGATGGTGTATAATGTGGTGGCCATGAAAATGAACCTCTCAGATCTCAAAAATCCTAATTGATCACTTGCCCAGTTCCTGCACTCGAAAATCCATTACTGTATTTAAGCTGAGGCCATGTTTCTATGGTCACAACTAGTCAATGACAGGATATGTAAGGAATACTACTGTGGGCCAATTTTTGGGAGATGTGGGATTCATTCACAGGTGAATTTGGATCAATGACTCTCCAGTGTCTTTACCTAACTTAGGACTGCACTGTAGCCTAAGACTTTTAGAAACCTAATATTTCTTTCTCTCTTTCCTTCACAGAAGTTAGACCCACATAATGGACTGACAGCTTCCCTGGCCTTTTCTAATTCCCTACCCATTTCTTCTCATAAGCATTCCTGCTACAATACATACATCTCTTGAATGTCTAATCCCATCTTGGTGTTTCCTTCTTTAAGAACCTGAACTAGCACAAAAAAACAGGTATAATGGGGTTCTGAGATTGGCTCACTTACCACTTTGTGGGCAATGAAGAAGCCATCCTTAGTGGTATGTGGAGTACTGTTAGTTCCTGTAATTATTACAGATTTCACCAGAAGTAATCTGGGAAAATGTCCTGATGGTGGGGAATGCCTTGCAAGTATGATAATTAAGACATTTGAAATATCAATGGAAATAATGCCCACAAAGGCAGTAGAGTTATCTGGTTACTGGTAAGTTAAATTGACATTCTACTAAAGGATAATGAGAAATTGAGGGCTATTAGCAAAAAGTTACACAATTAAAGAATAAATGTGAGAGTGAGAGATCTCTTTGGTAGCTTACAAACATACTCTTACCTCATGTTTGTGTTTGTAATGGAACATCAAACACAGCTAAGCAACAGAAAATCTAATAGAGTTGAAGAACCGCAGAGATGTTTAAATGCTTAGCTAAAGCAGGTCTACTATGATAAAATTTGGACCCTGGTTGGAAAGACTTGAGATCCTGAAAAATAGGGTGAAAACATGTGAATGGGTGCCTCTGAGGATGCTAGCTCTAAAGGTTTCCCTAAGCCCTTGAAGTCTGAAAAGGTGGCCCACTCTTTCCTAGTAAGAGCTAGCAATATCCCTGTGCTAAAAGATGTAGAGGCTCCTTTCATAAGTTGCCTCTGTCTCCTCTTTAGGCTGGGAGGCCAATAACTAGGGTCAAGACCCAGCATAACTTGGCTGGGAGACCAGTGATTATATTTAAAAGTATCT